TTCTACTACGCGCTCTCTCTCTCTCGACCTCTCTTCTTCTCTCTAAACCTAACCTCTCTCTCTCTCTCTAGTTCGAGGGTCTGATTCTCTACAACAATGGCGAGAACCAAGCAAACAGCTCGCAAGTCGACTGGAGGAAAGGCCCCAAGGAAGCAACTTGCCACTAAGGCGGCTCGAAAATCAGCTCCTGCAACTGGCGGTGTGAAGAAGCCCCACCGTTTCAGGCCTGGAACTGTGGCTCTTAGAGAGATAAGGAAGTATCAGAAGAGCACTGAGCTCTTGATTCGCAAGCTCCCTTTCCAGCGTCTGGTTAGGGAAATCGCTCAGGATTTCAAGACTGATTTGAGGTTTCAGAGTAGTGCGGTTGCTGCTTTGCAAGAGGCGGCTGAGGCCTATTTGGTGGGCCTTTTTGAGGATACCAATCTCTGTGCTATTCATGCTAAGAGGGTTACTATTATGCCCAAGGATATTCAGCTTGCGAGAAGGATCAGGGGTGAGAGGGCTTAAGGGGCTCTTGCTCTCTCTCTCTCTCTCTCTCTCTTTCTCTTTCTCTCGAAATGGGGCTTCTTTTTTTGATTATGGGGTTTTGTGGAAAATGGGTTTTACAGGAGAGAGATGGTGAATGGTGTATCAAATCTCAATCTTGTAATGATGGAAATTCTCATTTCCTTTTTCATTGTATTTCTGCTCTATTTCTCTATCTCTGACACTTATCTTTCTCTCTCTCTATCTCTATTGCTCTGTGTCTCTTGTAGGTTTGAGTTCGGGTTTCTATTAGGGTGTTGTCTGTAAATTTCTTTTAATGTTAATTTTGCTTCTCTTATGTTCAGAAATGAAATGGTCTTGAACTGAACATATAATATTGTTTCTTATTTCTATTTATTTCGTTGTTTCTGCAATTTTTTTTTTATCAAATCTTAGGTGGATATATTTGTTATGATGAGAAGTTTATAATTGAAGCGTGGGGTTCATCTGAAATGAAAATGTTAGTGGTTAACTGATCCAATTGCTTGAAATGGTAGAAAATTGTGCTATTAAAATACACTTACACCCTCTACAATTCCCCTCTCTCTTTGCGATTCCTCTACAATTCCCTCTCTCTTTGTGACTCCTTTACAATTCCCTCTCTCTTTGCAATTCCTCTACAATTCCCTCTCTCTTTGCGATTCCTCTACAATTCCCTCTCTCTTTGCGATTCCTCTACAATTCCCTCTCTCTTTGCGATTCCTCTACAATTCCCTCTCTCTTTGCGATTCCTCTACAATTCCCTCTCTCTTTGCAATTCCTCTACAATTCCTTCTCTCTTTGCCATTCCTCTACAATTCCCTCTCTCTTTGCAATTCCTCTACAATTCCCTCTCTCTTTGCGATTCCTCTACAATTCCCTCTCTTTGCGATTCCTCTACAATTCCCTCTCTTTGCGATTCCTCTACAATTCCCTCTCTCTTTGCGATTCCTCTACAATTCCCTCTCTCTTTGCGATTCCTCTACAATTCCCTTTCTCTTTGCGATTCCTCTACAATTACCTCTCTCTTTGCGATTCCTCTACAATTCCCTCTCTCTTTGCGATTCCTCTACACTTCCCTCTCTCTTTGCGATTCCTCTACAATTCCCTCTCTCTTTGCGATTCCTCTACAATTCCCTCTCTCTTTGCGATTCCTCTACAATTCCCTCTCTCTTTGCGATTCCTCTACAATTCCCTCTCTCTTTGCGATTCCTCTACACTTCCCTCTCTCTTTGCGATTCCTCTACAATTCCCTCTCTTTGCGATTCCTCTACAATTCCCTCTCTCTTTGTGATTCCTCTGCTCTATGGGGGCACAAGCACCCCAAATTTTTCAATAATGTCTATTTTTGTTTATATTTCTTTCTGCTCTATTTTGTAAATATTACAGAGTGTCTTTGTGCTACATTCATTTTTCTGTTTTTTGGGGTTTAATCTTGCTGCTATAATCTGGTTTTAATGACAGGCATTGTTTTTGGGTGTGATATGTTTGTTCATAGTTGCTGTTCTGTATTTACTCTTTAAAATGGACGTTAGGGTCTGGTTTACTTGAGTATTGATCAAGTTTGGAGTATTTCTTTTGTGCTTGTTCTTATTCATTTAACTGCATAAATATTGTGACCTGTTTAGTGAAAAAATGTTTGATATTTTTTCACTAGAACATTTTTCTACAAATTCCACATCTGCATTCAACTTTTTCTTAGAGAAATAAGGAAAGGTAGAATTTAAGCTTTTCTTGCAACTAGAATTAAGATTTTTGAATTGGAATATGACTGATGACCATTGATATAAGCAGAGTGGTGGATTATGATTTTTGTAACCAACCCCAAATAGTTGCGGCAGATAATAATAATCAGGACTAATAAATTATAAATAATGAAGAAGAGCAACTGGGGCGCCTATCAGATACATCTTTTGTTTCATTTACCAGCATTTTGTTTGTCCATGGTTGGGAGAGCACCTGACACATCAGCTTCATTTCCCATAAGCATTTCATAGTGAACACCTGTTCAGCGCTTCTGGCCTCACCAACTTGAACTGATGCATGATCCTGTGAAAGAAATCATGAGCCTTCTGTGAAAGTAACCATCAGCCAATTGATTAGAACCTGTCTCAAAATCTCTTTTCTGAGCTTTTCTTTTGGTTGATCTGTATTGTGGTTAGTTTGTGCAAGCTCATGTTTTCACATTCAAATTCCGCACAATTTGGGGAAGAAATGAAAAGAGGATGCTGAGGATTTAAGATATATTCCGGTTGATTGAGTCAGCTTAAATTAATGATCTTTCCTCCATTGCTGCAATGTGATTGAAGTGAGGGAAATGAAAAAAAGGGGCAGCTGAGGCTTTGAGTTTATCGCTTTTCCTTTTGGAATGAAATGTATAAAAAAAAACTGTGTAATTTCTATAGAAAGGGTTCTCAATTTCCTTGTTCTATTATATTTTAAATTATTGGGTGGGTGTAAGGGTGTCATTGATTAGGTTTAAAGCTCTCAAATTTTTGTTTTGAACTTTGTGACAATTTTGAGGGCATCAAATTTGATATCTAATATAGTTTCGAGACCGACTTACTCGTAGCCCTTCGTTATTTCTTTACTCTAGTGTGAATGAACCACACAATTTCACAATGGGTCCTCTATTGCGCAAACTTTGTTTGACATTGTGCTAAAATCTATTAGAGAGAAAAACCATTGTAAGACTAATAATCCAAAAAGAAGA